ACATTCTAAAATGAGACAGAAGGAGGAATGTGCTTGGTGTTGTAGGTACTAAAGACATTGGTCGTGCAGAAGCAGAGAAGATAAATGAGGAGGAGGAGGAGAAGAAGAAGAAGAAGAAGAAGCAGGAAAAGTAGGAGGAGAATAATGTTAGACTTGCTGAACATATTCGTCGTGTTTGTTACCCGGAAGAAATTGAGCAGTTCCGTAAGTGTGCCTTTTCCTTCTTTCTCTCCTTCTTTTGTCTCTTTCTTTCCATCCGTGCTGCCTACCTCGCATGTGGTATTTGGTGCCAATGGCGGTCCACCTACTATAATAGAAGATAGAACATTTTCGTACAGCAGAGAATTGAAGACAATCGCACCCCTGTTTTGTATTTATTGTAGGGAGTCACATTTCATCGACGGAATCAGCTTGCGTTGTGCCAATGTGTGCCATTTTACTCCACCCTTCTGGCATACTACTGATGGGCAATTAGTGACCTTGGTAAGTCAGCTGTAAGTCAAAAACATCGACTAAACAGATGGAAAATGATTCAAAATTTCAGCACAACATACGGGAGAAATTCACAGTCTAAAACTAACAGGCGAAAAACAATGCATGCTAACCCACAACCTTCTACAAATGTTCTGCCTACTATAGAGATTTGTCATCATCGGCAACAAAAATCTTTCATGTATCACCTACGTCTTCTCTTGCACAAGATTTAGCAGCTTTAAATAAAGGTAGGGCAAAAGGGACAGCTTGTTAATTAATCCTGCTTATTTTGTCTGATTAAAGGAAGTCTTACTCAATTTCAGATTTTGGTATCGTAGTGCGGAGTAGATTAGCATATTATCATCTAGCCTCTATCTCTGTGCTTAACCCCTTCCCTCTACATTTCTTGCTATGATTGGCTCAAGAGACACCTCATTGATGGCCCAGGCAAATGCGAACACAATGGGAGAGAACACACTGATCATCGCTTAGGGACAAATGCGAAATTAGGCCTCTGAGCAAAAAAGTTCAGTGGTCCTAGATTCACTAACGTGATGTACAGTAGGCACTGTCATATCGGGAAAGTGATGCGTCTTGGTCAACTATTATTCTGCCTCACACTATGGCTA